CCCATCAGAATAGGATTATGTTATAGTTTTCATGAATGACATTTTCTAAAAAAATTGAGAAAGATTGAGATGTCACTCATCTAAATGTCCTTAGAGGGTTGTTTTATTTAAAAATTGCTCTTTGTTGAAAAGTTCAGAAAACACAGACATATAAAGTAGACAATGATAATTATCTACAGTTTCTAAAAATGACAACTACAAACTTCTGATGCATATAATTTGAAATATTTTATCTATCAGCATGAAATATATCAAGAGAGAACACATGGATGGAAAATAACCGTACATACTGTTTTGAACTTGTGTTTTATATGCTTTCAGTAAATGTCTAAAACTTTCAACTCTAATACACATTCTCCATTGCCATTAAAAAATGCAGGAAAGTTTAAAGAAAAAGTTGAAAATGTGCCATTTCAGCTCCACTACTCTCCCCTGAACCTGTGAATCTGAACCTAGTATACCCTGTGTGTGCGTATACACACACATACAAACACGCTGTACATATATGTATATGCATATACATATATATGCACATATGTATATACATATATACACTGCATGTGTGTGTGTGTGTATATATATATATATATATATATATATATATATATATTGACACTAATATATCAACAATTACATGCACCTACATACAGAGATGATTTTGTAATTGTTTAATTTGTAAAAAAATGATTTTTAACATAAGTCTTCACCTACTGCCTTTTTTTCTTCACAAGAATTCTTCCAGGCTAACCATAGATGCCACTGTGTTTAACCGTATTTTATGACCTGACTTGGATGAATTTATAAGTTTCATGCATACATCAAACCCAGTGGCCAATTAGAGGTCACTAAAAAGGGCTACAATAAACTTTTTGTAAATATATTTTTAAAATGCATTTATTTCTATAAGATAGATTCCTATGAGAGGGGTTTCAAAATGGGATATTATATAAATTATCTATATTTTAGTAGATGGTTCCAGATAATTTCCCAGTTTTTAAAGGTGTTTTATTTGTTTGTTTTTCCTGTACTCAGGGACACTTACCACTGAGCCACATCCCCAGCCCTTTTTATTCTTATTTTAAGACAGGGTCTCACTAAGTTGCTGAAGGCCATGCTAAGGTGCTAAGGCTGACTTTGAACTTGAGATCCTCCTACCTCATCCTTCCCTGTTACTGTGATTACAAGCATGTGCCACCACATCTGGCTCAGTTTTAAAGGTTTTTACAATGTCAGAGTTATGTATAAAAGTATTTTCCAGTTCCATAGGTCAGAAGAGACAAATATTTTAAATGTGATAGATAAAAATGTGTGGTATTATGACATTTTGTTACATTTTTCAGCTTCCTTGTGAGGATAAGGAAGTTTCTTTTCTGTGTGAGTCATTTGGTGTGAGTCATCCCCAAAATGTTGATTTAATAATTTTTTTCATTTTGTATAATTATTTGCCTTTGTTTTGTTTCTATTATTTGACAAATTTTAGTTTTTATTAGATAGTTGCAGTATTAATCTTTGTATTTGTGAAATTCAGAGCAATTATCTCTCACTTCACCACTTCTTTACTTTCTGTCCTTGTTCTCATTTTACTTTTTCCACTCATAATGTTCGAATTTCTATATTATTAAATTTGTAGTTTGAACAAAGAAAACCCAAGGAATGCTAAGAGCCACAGCCAAGTAATATGATGCATGGCATTTTTGGTTGAAAGGTGATGCCAGCAAGCCATTGAGATGATATGATTATGTTAAGATTTGCATTCATATGGATATTGGACTCCTGCTGTCCACCTCTGCCTGCTATGGGACTCCTGGAGAGTTCCCATTGGTTGGGGGAAGTGTGGTAGGAGGGAATTCCGGAGGAGGGACTTCCTGTTGGGGTCAGGAGAACGCTGCGTGGGTCGGTCGGCAATCTTCCTGGGAGCATATGGGGCATTGGTGGCAGTTTCAAAAATAAAGTTTGTTCCTGCTTGAGTGGCTCGTGATTTTGTGCACAGCCAGACTGCGGCAAAGGAAGTCTTTTAAAATTGTTTATTAGTTCATATTAGTTGTGCAGGTAATGGGTTGTATTTTGGAATATTCATACTTACATATAGTATATTTTGATTATTTCCACCCTCCATGACCTATCCTTACCCTACCCTTACTACCTCCTCCTGATCTTCTACTTCTCTGTATCCTCCCTTTAATTTCACATCTCTTTTCCCCTTGATTCCACATGTGAGGAAAAAAAATGAGATATTTGTCTTTCTGAGTGCCTTATTTCACTTAATATGATGATATTTAGTTCCATCCACTTTCTTGAAAATGACATGATTTCATTCTTTTTTATGGCTGAATAAAACTCCATTGTGCATATATGCCATATTTTCTTTGTCCACTCATCTGTTGACAGGCACCAAGATGATTCCATACCCTGGCTCTTTTGAGTTATGCTGTGAAAAACTTGGGTATGCAAATTGCTCTTTAGTAAACTGATTGATATCTTCAATTATATACATCCAGGAGTGATATAGTTGGATCACATGTTAGTTCTACTTTTAGTTTTTTGAGGCTCCCCCATAATGATTTCCATGTTAGCTATAGTAATTTACATTATCACTAATAGCATAGGAGGGGTCCCCTGCCCCATCTACCTGCAAATTCTTGCCATAATTTATTGTTATTTGTATCTTTGAAGATTGACATTCTCATCATGGTGAGACAGAATCTCAATGTAGTTTTTTTTTTTAGTTGTCGATGGACCTTATTTATATGTGGTGCTGAGAATTGAACCCAATGCTTCACACATGTGAGGCAAGCACTCTACCACTGAGCCATGATCCCAGCCCCTCAATGTAGTTTTGATTTGCATTTCCATGATGGCTAAAATGCTATGTATTTTTTCATATTGGGCACTTGTACTTTATTTGAGAAATATTTGTTCAGTTCTTTTACCTGTTTATAAGTTGAATTATTATTTTTTGTGTTAAGTTTTGTTTATGTATTCTGGAAATTAATTCTCTGTCAGAGTGTAGCTGACAAAGATTTCTCTCCCATCCTGTAGGCTCTCTCTTCATTCAACTAATTATACCTTTTGTTGTATAGAAAGTTTTTAATTTGATGCCATCTCATTCATCTACACTTGCTATTTTTTCTTGAGTTATAGGAGCCCTATTCAAGAAGTGAATGTGCCTGTATGTTGAAGTATTTTTCTTATGTTTTCTTCTAACTGTTGCAAAACTTCAGGTCTTAAATTATCACAGAGGCTATCTTTCTCAGCATATGTTTTTGACACCTTTGCCCAGAATCTGCTGGCTGCAGCTGCTTGGGTTTATTTCTGTATATTCTGTTCTATTCCATCGGTCTACATATATTTTTATGCTAGGAATATGCTTTTTTCTAATTATGGCTTTATAGTATATTTTGAAGTCAGGTACTGTGATACTCCCATCATTGCTGTTTTTGCTTAGGATTGCTTTGGCTATTCTGGGTCTTCTGTTCTTCCATATGTGTTTTAGGGTTGTATAATGTTTCCATAATCCTGAATCCTATGGGTTAGTTATATACCAGGATTTACAATCAGCTTTGGGTCATGTACTATGTGCAAATGTATATTCAGTACCCGCATAAATTGCAGAACTATATTCCTGATTTTGTGGAAATGCTGTCTAGTTTCACAGCTAAAAGACAAGCTTCTACCCGACTTGCTTAGACTAGTGGATGGAGTTTTTCTTGTCTCCATTTCACATGTATGTGTGCATCCTCCAAAGTCCTAGGATCTAAGCCAGGAAACTTAATTGCAGTTCCTCATCTTGCATAGTCCTGAATCTATTCCCCTGTCCCTACATGTATGACAAGTCCCAGAACTACATGTATGGTAGGTTACTACATATATGTCAAGTCCTGAGTCTGTTACCCTGTTTCTACATGTATAGCAGTCCCAGAACCCAGGACTGTGGATCACTTACTTAAATTCTGCAGTGACTTTAACAATTTTAATTTCTTCTTCATACCTGGACTTATAGATTCTACCTCAGTTATACATTTCATTAAAAAAGAAAAATATTCAGTCTTTCTGTGCAATTGACGTAGAAAAGTGAATGTCCTCTGATATCATCTTGGATAGCTGTATTGATTTAACATTTTCCCTAGGAAGCTTCTTCATCTCCAATACAAGTATGTCCCTTGTCCTTCATATGTCCTCCAGTTTTCTCCAGGCAAACATGAATGATATAGATCCTCTATGTAGTTCTATATAATCTCTTTATTTTATGATAAATTTCAATAAGTATTCTAGTGACTATATTTTTCCATGTTTAATATTTATCTTTCACATATTAAACTAGGAAGCTACACATTGAATACATACTATATGCCATTGATTTTACATTGCATAATACTATATTCATCTTGTTATTAGTAACCTACCAACATATGAGGATAATGAAAAAAGAACATGCATATAAGTGTGTAATTTTTCTTTATTCTTTCATCAAATATTTATCTTTTTTCTTTTTATGTATGTGCATGGGTACTGGGAGTTGAACTCAAAATCTCACACATGTTTGGGAAACTACCACTGAGCTACACTGCAAGTTTTTCTTTTTGTTGTTGTTTTCTTTATAAATTGAGGATGGCCTAAAACTTGCAATCCTCATTATTCAATCTTCTGAGTAGCTGGAATTTCATGTGTGCACCACAATACCATGCTCAAGTATTTATTAAATTTTGATTATGTGTCAGCCATTATCCTGGCACTTAAACCAGTGGGAAAAAAAAGATCTTTTGCTGTGATATTTTCCTCAGATGATGTAGATTAAAACTTTTTTCTTGCTCTAGGGAAGTGACATTGGAGAGAAGTATGACCCATCCATGAAAGGCTACCTGACATCCTTTCTTTCACAGAATTGCAACTTGAGCTACAATTCCTTTTTTAGACTCACCCAGACTATTCCTATCATTCTGGCTGGCTTTTGATGTTAATAAGTGTTAATAAAATTTAAATTTTCTCTGGTATCTTTACAGCTGGGACAATTGAGTACTTTTGGATCACTGAAGATTACACCTGAGATGGAATTAGAAATACAGTCAGTGGTGACAGAAGACAATTGTGAAATTCTTAAAATCCCTGCAAAGGAATATGAAAAGTTAAAACTGGTATGATGTCCACAACTTTTAAATTTTTTTTTAAATTTTACTTGACCTGGAAATCATAAAAAATGTGCTTTATTTGATTAACATCACTTAAGTAGTCTCTACTGGTTGTGGATCTTTGAGATGAAAACAAGAGTCTTTATGCGTACATTTTACTTGTATTTTTGAGTGCCCTTTGGTTTTTTATGAATTTCAAACCATTAATTAATTAATTAATTCATCAAGTATGTGCCAGGAATACTAGATGATTAGACTGTAGTATTACTGGTCTCCAAATCTCTACTGGCTATCTTAGTCTTACTTCTTGTGATTGGCATGCTTTTTCATAGTTACAACTGATGTCCAACTAAGGGCTTCATGAATAGGTAATTACAGTATAATTCTGACCCCCTATTTCTGGAATTTTAAGATAACTTATTTAGTAAATTTAACAATTTTATTTTTTCTAGTCAAATCTAAATTTTTTTCTCTCTCCTATTTCTTTTTCCCTGGATGGCAGTGGAAGTTCGTTAAATGATGGGACTGGGAGATCTCACTAGTCCTGCTATCCCAGCTTTTCTTGATAGGCTCTAACCCCTGAGAGGTCCTGTTAGGTGCTGGAAAATTAGGAGTTCATGTTGGGTGGAGATGGGGAAGAATCCATATTTTCACTTTAGGTCTCTAAATGGGGATTTCCTTTGATATAGTGGTCCTATTATTAGTGGAACAGGTGACTTTTCTCAGAATTCAACTTCATTCCAAATACCTAGTGTCAGTTTATTTCAATTAGCACAGTATCTCACTTTAAAAAGATGTTTTCTTTTTTATTTTCCTAATATTATTATCATATACTTGATATTATCAACTATGACTTTTAAATTTAGTTTTGAATATGACAGGGCTTTAAATAACATACTATGAAGGAAAGATGGAAAATATAATTTTAGTGAGCAGATCTAGAGATGAATATTGCATTTTGGCTATGTGGTCATGGAGTGATGGCCCAGTACAATTCAAATGTATTTTACACTAATTTGCATTTGTATAATCTTTATTTTTTTCTTCTGCCATTTGTCAACTTGCTATTTTTTGTTTCTTTTTAAATTTTCTAATATTGGAAAGTTTGATAATGACATCTTTTTTTCAGGAAAAAGTAAAAAGTGAAAATTTACAAAAGTTGAAATTAATCCGTAAGTGTCCTTATTATATGGAATGGTCTACTTTATCCATATATGTGCTAATTCCACTTCTTAAATGGAAAAAATTTCCTCCAGGTCATGGTGAGTTTAATTCAATTTTAGATCATTTTCTTTACATAATATTTTATTATTGGAATTTGTAATTCTTCATAGTTTCAACATTTTGAAATAGAATTTCTTAGTATAGGTATTCCCTAATTTGCTTAGTGACTAATTTTAACTTGGGTTTTTAGACTATATCTGTGTTCTGTTGATAATAATATCACACCGAGTTGAGAAGTGGTTTCAGAAATAGCCTTACTTCCACATTCCTCTATATCCTCTGGTGCTACTACTCCTGTTGCCTCACCCTGAAGTCACAATAAGGGTCAATCTGTGAAGGAGAAATGCGATAGGTGGTTGTAGCCATTAATTCCCTGTCTTCCTGGTTGGGCAACTACTTAATAAGCAAGGTGGCTAGTCAGCATCTGTGCTAAAAATTTATTATCAGTGGAAAAAAATAATTATAGATTGGATATCCTTATCTACCATGCTTAAAACAAGAAGTTTTTCATATTCAGATTTTTTTTGGATTATGAAATATTTACATAACATAAGGAGATATTTTTAGAGATGGTACCCCAATCTAAATACATAATTCATTTATATTTCATATATACCTCATATGCATACCTGTATAACTGTAGGTAATTTTATACAATATTTTTAATTCCTCTGTGGTTTGATTGCAATCTGTCCATCTGAAGTCAAGTGTGGAATTTTCATGAATTTTGGAGTATTTTGTGATTCAGATTTTCATATCAGTGATGTTCATTTGTATGGAGAATAAGTAAGGCCTAGGTAAGAGGAAATAGCAATGAAGAGTCTACATTTTTCATGTCAAGCATCATAAGGATGTATGGATTTCCCCAGGTATGCATACACAAAGTGTAGATGCCATAGAGTCATGATGACAATTGGTCTACCCGTGAAAGCCAATTGATCATCAGATATCAACACAAAAGGATAAGTGGAGGTTAGGTCAGTGCTGTGGGTTTACTTCAGTAAGGAATCACTATGGCCACACAAGAAACAATTGAAAAGAACACAGTGAATTGTACCTTGTCTCTTTTTTTCCCTCAAACTGGTACCTTCACTATAATGGAAAAGGAAACTTTTGAACAAAATAATTCTGCCCAAAGCCTACAGAAGCATAATTATACTGAAGGATATTTCAAAATTTTTTGAGATTAAAGTTCTAAAAAAAAAATGTGTCTCACTACCTATAATTCTAGCTAATTTGTAGACTGACATAGGAGGGTCACAAGTTATAGATCCATCTGGATAAGAAATAAAAGGGCAAGGGGCTGAGGCTATATCTCAGAGGTAGAATGCTCCCAAGTTTAATTTTTAGTAATACCAAAAACAAAAAACAAACAAAAAAAATCAAAAAACAAGTGTCTGAGTTACAAATTCCAGAGACTATTCTAATTAATAACAATAACCTGGCTGACAAGTCTTGAGTTCTGGCTAAGATATCCTCAGAGAAGTTACTATTCAACAAGAAAGTGAGGTTCAGTTTTGTTTGGGACAGAGGATTTTTTTATAAAACTGTGAAACAGTAAATATTAGCAGCAAATTTATGGTTCAAAGAATAGGGATATGCTAATGAACTATAGATTGGCTGAGATTATGTTCCCAATTTTCTACCAGTGCTTACATTTATATTTCAACTATCATGTTTTTGAAATACAGCATTTAACCCATATTTAGTCATATACACATATTTTCTCTTGCTTATGAAAAATGAATATTCATATTGTGGTTTTGTTCATTAAATATTTTTTCCTAATAAGGTATAAATATCATTTTTTTAGTCAAAAGTCCATTGGAAAACAAGTAGTAAACTGACTTATATAACAAAAAGGAATGTAGCATTTCAAAATTCAGCATATTTATTGCATAGAAATAATTTTTAAAAGTAAGATCCATATATCTTAGAATTATTGTAGGTTTCTCTATTTATATAAGAAATATAAGGGGCTGGTATTGTGGCTCAGCTCTGGAGC